AGTGAGCTCTGTTGTAAGAGAAGATCCAGCTAATGGTGCTTAAAACTGTAAAAGCACAGTATTACATCTTAGAGCAGTCTGCAGGTAAGCAGCTCTGTGGCCAGAAACTCAGCTGTGCATGGTCTGAGTTCTGGGTCACCATCTCTGTGCTCTTCTTGATCCTGCCCTCCTACTCACAGAATGGCAGCCACAGCCCCAAGCACTACTGCCCCCATTGTGGGGGTAGAAAAACCTTTCCTTTTCCTTGTCATTGGCCAGAACTCGGTCACATGCATGGCCAGTCCTTGGTGGAGGAAAAGGAGAAGGGCTGCCACCAAAGATGCTTCCTGATGTAGTTGAGCCCACTGCTGTTTGTTAGCAAAAGAGGAGGGGTGGCTGTGGGTTGGACACCAACCCTGTGTCACCTTAGCTTTGCTAACACTTTGATGCCAGGGAACTAGGGAGGTCCAGGGCAGTTTCTCCCATCACAGAGACACGCTTCTGGGGAAGAGACTAGTGTACGTTTTAGAGCACTTAGCTTTTTTTTTTTTTTGAGGTACTGGGGTTTGAACTTGGGGCTTTGCACTTGCTAGGAAGGTGGCTCTACTGCTTGAGCCACGCCTCCAGTGCTTTTTGCCCTGATTGTTTTGGAGACAGGGTCTCGCTTTTTGCGTGGGTCATCCTGGACTGTGAGAGCTTTCTATTTTGTGCCTCCTGAGGTAGCTGGGATGACAGGCACGTCCCACCATATGCAGCTATTGGTTGAGATGGGTCTCTTGAGAACTTTTTTTTGCTGGGGCTGGTTTGGAACTGTGATCCTCCCAAGTAGCTAGGATTACAGGCTTAAGCCACCGAGCCCAGCTGGAGCACTTAGCCTTTTGTGAGTATCACAAATGAATTGCCATCCTATAGATTGGGACCACGCTTATTTTCATAAAACGTTTGCATATTTTGTTTGGTTTGGTTTGGAAGCACTGGGGTTTGAACTCAGGGCCTCATGCTTGCTAAGCAGGTGCTCTTACCACTCGAGCCACTCTGCCAGCACATTTGCATATTCTGAAAAGCAGAATCACTGAGTGTTTGAGAACATGGAGCTACAGTGCCTGGTTCTCTTGCTGGACAACCTTGTATGACTAATTTAACCTCTCTGTGCACTAGTCTCTCATCTGTAAAATGAGAACAATACTGGAATCTGCCTCCTGGGGCTTTTCCTGAGATTAATTTATGCATAGTAATATGCACCATTGAAAACAGAGCGTGGCTCGCACAACGCACTGCTTAGTTTGCTGTTATCATTCAGTGATCCTGTCACTCCTTTGGGATGGGAACAATGAAAATGTGAAGGCTCAGAGAATTCGAATGTCATTCCTAAACTCCTGAGGCTGCTGAGGGCACATGGGACTGATGGGAGGGGGTGGTGGCTGGTGCTCAGCCCTCAGCCCTTTTGTCCTGCCTACTCATTTGTCACTGTGAACATTTATCGAGGTGCTAGAGGTGTGCAGTTTCACAGTTGTCTCCCAAATGTACTGTGGATGATCTGTGAACAGAGACTGTGTCCTCCTGCACTGCAGACACTAAGCAGGGCACAGAGGCCTGGGTTTGTGGCCTTTGATGGGCAGGGTAGCTGCAGAGGTGGTGCTTGCATGGGGGATCTTCCCCATGGGGCAGTGGCTGAAGACAGTCCCAAAGATGTCCGCGCTCCAAGGTGGCATGGATTTCTGCTCCCCACACAGAGGGAGGTCCAGGGGTGTCCCCAGGCCTGGGTGGGAAGCTGGAGTGGGGAGTGTTAAGAGGCAGGAGACACCTGGGGGCCCCAGGATGCTCGTGCTGTAGGAAACTGCTGTTTGAGCACTAAGTGTTAGCAGCATAAAAAATGAGCTCAAATCAATTTGTGTCTGAATTTACTCTCGGAATTCCCCGTGGACTCTGTAAAATGCCATTTTACCTCTTTTCTACCCGGCTAGCTGTAGAGGCATAGCAGATTTACACTATTTTACATGCAGTTAAGATTTTTTTTTTCCTTTTGGTTATGTTTTTAAGAACATTTATTGCCTATAAAGAAGTGTTTTGTTAAAGACAATAGTGCCCTTTAGGTAGTAACAGAATGTTATTTCACAAATACCTATAAAACGATTACACAGCTGGGGTGGCTGGGGTGCTGATTAAGGCACTTCCTATTCATCTTTACCTGGAAGCCCTTGTGAAGTGGCTTCACTGCAGTCCCTTCCCCCATGAGGGACCTGCAGGTGGAGAAATGGGGAGATCCAGACACAGCATTTACCCTCATGTCCCGCCTGCAGTACTGTGGGTGCTGAGCTGAAGCTGGGCCTTTCAGGATGGGTGAGCACCAGGAGGAGACACTGTAGCTTAGTCTGTCATGGCGCCAACTCCACAGTTAGGCAAACCGGGCCTTGTCTCCTAGCTCTGCCGCTTACCTGTGTTCCGGAGCAAGTTGCTTAGCCCCTCTGTGCCTCAGTTTTCTTACTCTGAAACCGGATGGTAATAATAATACAACCTCCTTTGCCAGGATGTTGGAAGGATTCAAAGAGGTGTGTCTTGGGGCTGGTGGTGTAGCTCAGTCGTAGAGCACACGCTAAGCACACAGGCATGATCCCTGTCACCACACAGATACACATCCAGCATGACTGGCCTCAGAGCCCTCAGTAAGTGTCAGTAAAAAAAGACAAATGAGGGAAAGGACCTGGGTGTGAGGTCTTAACCATGCCAGATCCTTCTAGATGGTCCATGGAGCATTTCTTCCTGCTGAGCACTTCCACCTTCTTCTGTCTGGTGTTGTATTGTTTTTGTTTGTGAGCAGAGAGGCTTTTGAGTCCCTTGCCTAGGAGTTGACTGGCCCAGAACACAGATGTTCTCTGAGAGCCTCTGTTCCAGGATGGAGACTTACTGGGCCAGACCGAGATCACTGGTCAACCCCTGCTCAGATGCCACTGCTTACTTATTTGGTTGATGATGGGATCATAGGGCAAGATTAGTCCTTTCGGTCTGTTACAGCAAACTACCATAAACTGGGTGGCTTATCAACCACAGAAATGTCTGGATCCCTTTCAGATTCAGTGTCAGGTGAGGGTCGCTCTCACACAGACGGCGCCTTTATTCTGTGTCTTTGGAAGTCCCTGTGAAGTAGCTACAGCACAGTTACTAACTCCTAAGGCTCCTGTGACCCTGAACTGAGTTGAGAAAGTAGCATTTGAAACTGTCTGGCTGATGAGCACTCAGGACATATGGCTTATATTCTACCACACAGACACGGTCCCTAGAACTGTGGGCCAGTTCCCAGGACCACGTCTTCTCTTTTATGGTGCCATGGTCTGAATGTTTGTGTCCCCTCCAAATGCCTGTGTTGATATCCTAACCCTGAAGGTGATGGTAAGAGAATTAGGATTTGGGGGGAGGTGACAAGGTGGTAAGCACTGAGGCCTCAATAGTGGGATTGGTGCCCTTACTAAAGAGGCCTCAGAGAGCTGCTGTGCCCTATAATGAGGCCGAGAGGAACTAAGTAACTTTCCCCAGGGTCAGAGCTGCCAAGAGACAAGGCCTTGAGAAACTGTCGAGAATTCCAGAGGCCTCATGAACATGGTAGGGGTCTGTAAGCCGTGCGTCCTAAGCGCTCCTTACCCGGACACGATGCTAAGTGCTTTGCGGCCAGTTTGGTTCATCATTATAGGAGACTCAGGAGTCAGGTATTATTCCCACTTTGCAGGTGAGAAATTGAGACACAGCTGGTTAGTGGTGGGCTGAGTCTGCTTCCGAATGAAGGCTGGTCCTAATACAGCACAACGGTAATGATTGTATCGACTTACTATTATTATCATCATTGAGTCTTAGCTCACTTAACCTCCATAACAATGCTGGGAGGCAGGTGTTATTATATTTTTTATTTTTTAATTTTTTTGCCATGCTGGGGATGAAACCCAGCACCTCATGCATCCAGGCAAGCACTCTCCCACTGAGCTGAGCTACACCCCCACTCCTTATGCATCTTAAACTTGAGGTAATGGTAAGAATCCCAGTTTCCATATAATTTGTTTTCATTTCTTAACATTCTCACTCCTTGATCATTTTTTGTTCCCTTATTTAGCCAGGTTTAAAAACTTGAAATAACTATGCTTCTCACACCATACCCAAGTCCTTCTGACTCGGTGGGTAGCCAAGGTACCTGAAAATTGCTATTTATAGAATGTTCTCGGCTCTTCCCTGGATCAGTCTTCCCCTCCTTCCCCCATCTGTAGTAGGTAAAACTTTGTTCTTGTAGAGCTGTGTATTTGTTCTTAAAGTAAACCTGAAATTGCTTTCAGACTCATTTTATAATATTCTGTCACTCTGTGTTTTCACACATACACAAAGACCTGGCTTCCCGTTGCTGATCCTGAGGTTCTGCCACATGCAGGAATGTTAACTGACAAAACGTTAAGTAATGGCAGCAAAATGTAATTAATGGAAGAATAATCGTACAGGGCGGGGATCTCGGTATTTTAATGAGGGCTCAGAAACATCTGACTGAGGATGTTGACAGTGGAAGGGGAGGTGAATGTTACTGTAATTAATGCTGCATACTAAAGAGTGACCCCTCTTTGGTGTGATCAATACAGGGACCTTGTAACCTTTCTTGTCACCTGGAACTCACTTCTGGGACTCTGTGGATCTGTTAACAAAAAAGATAATTACCAGTCTGCCCTCATTTACTGGGGAAGCTTTCCAGGTCTTCCTATGAGGATGAAATTAGATATCCCCATTTTAGAATATTTACGTGTATATATATATTTCCTCTCTGATATATGTGTTCAATGTTTGCCCTATAATGAGAGTTTTAACTTTCTGTTTTCTTTTCCATTATCCCTTAAAAGAATGGATTATGGAGAAAAGACTAAAATAGTATGTAATCTGTGTTTGCTAATGTGCTGTCGGGTTATTAGTGGAACTCGACAAGTTTGTCTCTTTTACGAATGCCTTTTGGATTGCAATTACCTAACAGACCTGGAAACCTGTTTGTATTCTTGCAGGCATTAAACGTCATCTTTGAAAAAATCCCAGAAAACGAGAGTGCAGATGTCTGTCGGAATATTTCAGTCAATGTTCTCGACTGTGATACCATAGGCCAAGCCAAAGAAAAGATTTTCCAAGCATTCTTAAGCAAAAACGGCTCTCCTTATGGACTTCAGCTCAATGAAATTGGTCTTGGTAAGACAAGGCGGGAGCTACTTTGTCTCAGTCCCCTAATGAGCACCCTCCCTGTTTTTCTTCCCTCCCTGTCCAGCAGCTTCTGCTTGGTGACACTTACATGGCCTGAGCTGTCCCCAGAGGGCATGTCTAGAGGCCAAGGGACTGCTTTGCTCCCTCACAAGCATCATGATGCTCCTTGAAGCATCATCCTTCAAAGATGTCATTTTAAAAAATATTATATTTGTAAATCAGATTCATGAGATTGGCGACCCTGAGACCGTATGGAATCACCTTGCGTTGAGAAGTACAAAAAGGTGCAAACCGGTGCCCTCCATGTGTGTTGCCTTTCACATTGGCATTTGATTTGTTTGTTGTGATATCGAGCGTGTCATTAGTGGGTGGCTCGGCCGCCAAGTGTTAACTCCAGCATGCTGGAAAGGTCATGTTCCCCTGTGCTCATCACATCCTGCATTAAGTGTACCCTCCGTCCTCCCTCAGCGCAAAGCAGCATCTGCTGTGAATTCATTTGCGGGCTCTACTGCTACCCTGCAAAGGAGAGCATATGCGTGAGCAGCCTAACGGGGCCCCGCTGCACTCAAATGTTCATCAACATTTTAAAGTTGAGCTCTGCGCAGCCCTCCCAGGAGACTGCTGTGGGATTTTAGAGCAGATAATGGGACAGGAAAGAAGAGGAAAATCGCGCAGTGACAGACAGCGTAACAAGGTTCATCTCCCTTCCCGTGTACAGTTGTAGGCCTCCACTAAGTAGGCAATTAAAATCCTCCTCCTCCAATCAAACCTTCTGCTAATGCCATTGAGAAAAGCCTCAAGGCAAGGCCTGGGAGGCCCGAGGGAGGCCAGGCAGATGTGGAGCAGCTTCCTAACTTGCTTCAAAGAAAACAGGTACTTAGGGGCCTCTCGCCACCTCTGTTCTGTTTCCTTCCACTGGGCAGCTGGAAGAAGGTTTAACTCATTTGGTTAGATGCAGGGTCAGAGGGGCAGCCCTAGCCAGGAAACCAGGACCTGACCCAGATTACCAGCTTCCTTGCCTTGAACTTTGTCTTGCAGTGTGTGGTTCTGACCACAAAGGACATGGCAGGCCCAGAAAGCAACCACAGCGAAAAGAGCCTGGCAGCCTCAGCTCTGCCACTGATGAGCTGATAGATGTGTCTTCATGTGCTTCCTGGGTGTGTGCCCATCAGGCGTCCCTCAGCTCCTAAAGCTGGAAGGCGGGAGTAAATGGGACACAGTCTTTCAACCATGTCACAGTTCTGTGTGCCTGCTGATCTCAGGAAACAGCAAAGCCTTTGAAACCAGCCATAAACTGTACTGAAATCTAACCCTAAACAACCGTGTCCAACCTCTTACAGCAGAGGCTTGTAACTCAGATGTCCAAAGGGGCAGAAAGTACATAGTATCAGTGCCTAGGCCAACAGGAAATGTTGGGGCCCTTGCCAGCTAGGGGGTCAGAGCCACTTGGCTTCAGCACAGGATTCTGTGCAGGCTACAGGGTTGGTATTACCAGACTTTTAAAAAGAGAAAATCAAAAGTCCAATTTTTTTTTTGTGATCTCTTAATCTTTAAATTGTTGGTATTGAGTTGATATTAACATAATTCCATAAAACATCAAGGTTTAAGAAAACAGGAAGCAGAGATCTGAAAGATTATAGTTTGAGGCCAGCCTGGGCAAAAAGTTACCAAGACAACATCTCAACAAACTGAGCAGGGTGTGGTGGTTTGTGGCTGTAATCCCAGCTACTTGGGATGCATAGTTAGGAGAATCACAATCCACAGCAAGCCCTGAAAAAAACACAAGACCCTATCTGAAAAGTAACTTAAAAAAAGCAAAAAGATCTGGACATGTGGCTCAAGTGTTAGCGCTCCAGCCGACCAAGTGTGAAGCCCTGAGTTCAAACCTTAGCGCTGTCCAAAAAAAGAAAGAAAACAGACATTTGTGGCCATTTTCTGACCCAAGGGCACAAGGTGATCACCTCTGTGGCGAATTTGCTTCCTGTTCTGCTGGAACATTAGTACGGTGCCTCGCTTCTCAATGGAGTTCAGAGGCATTCATAGTGGTGAACACTTGTACCCGTGCATGTAAGCAGTGGGGATATTTTTGAAGTCCCTCAGAGAATGCAGTGTCGTTACTTCTAGGCCTAGCCTCACCCTGAAAGCTTCTGGGAAAAGCGATCTAAAATGTCAATGTCTAAATACAAACCAAAGCAACACTAAGGTTCTCATCTGGCCAATGGCTCTGCACACCTTCAAACAATGCCTTTCCCCTTTACTCAAGTTTTATTTATTTACCAGTAATATTTGTGAAAGTAACAGCATTGCACTTAAAATTTTTTCTTTGTGATTTTAGCAGGGAACAAAATGCCTCCTCCTCTTTTTTTTTTTTTTTTTTTTTTCCAGAGCTTCAAGTAGGCACACGACAAAAAGAACTTCTGGATATTGACAGTTCCTCTGTGATTCTTGAAGATGGAATAACCAAGCTAAATACCATCGGCCACTATGAGGTAAGACCAAGACTTGACTTCAACATCTCCTTCCTCATCCCCAGTCCTAACTGGATCAGATAATCTCCAGTACTAGGTAAAGTCTTCAAAAAGAACCCAAGACTCCCTCTTATTTTCTGGCAGTCTGCAGATGGCTTGTTGCCAGGGCAGTTTTTCTTCCTCAGAAGAGCTGGGGAATTACTGTCTCTTGTGGTGTACTTGTCACATGTTCCCTTTTAGAAGGTTTCAGGTTTTATGCTGCCTGAACACTCCATCCACAGTTCAGATTGGAAGTTTCACCTTGACCAGAGAGTCTGGCCTTGCACAATGTGTGTTCCTAGGAAATCCACAGGACTGCTGTGCGCCAAGTGCATCGATGCCGAACAAAGTCTGTAAACGTCCTATGCCTCACCTCGCTCCAGTGTCCACAGTGGACCTTGAAACCTTTGTGCGGGGTTATTGTGCTAAAGACATTCTAAACTTCCTGTGTATTTGCAGTGTTGGGGGTACTTCCTCTAACCCTTTAGACCTGCATGCTGGGTGAATGCTGAGGTCAGTGAAGGGTGCACATGATCTCTCAGAGACATGTGTGCCAGAAAGGCCTGCACTTGACAAAGCAGGAATCAGGGGAGGTTTCTGAACACATGGGGATACTGGGATTCACCCAGCAGCACTGTCCAAATCTTCGTTGAATGTCTGTTTTGTGCTAAGAGCTGGGGCTGCGTGGGAGAGAAGCAAAGACTAGGCCTCTGCTTCATGGAACCCTGAGAGGGGATGGAGGGATAGAGACAAGCAATGAAGCTTTTATGACCCAATGGTGATAGGGCTTGGAGCAGCTGAGAATGCTCCCTGGAGGAAGCTATGGCTGTACTGAGACTAAAGAATAAGGACTTAGGCTGGGGCTGGGTGAGAAGGGAGAATGTATGTGTGCAACAGAGGACTTTCAGACTGGCCACAACTTGAGGAAGAGCTCAGATGGCAGTGAGAACAAATGCCAGCCAAAGCAGGGGGAGCACTTACTCTGGGCCAGGTGCTAATGTCAGCATTCCCTTTACTTTGGATCATTCCATCCCAAGGCAGTCCTGTGAGGTAGGAGCTATTGTTCCTCCCACTTTATAGATGAGGCTAGGGGTCTAGAACTGGGAAGAAGGAGGCAAGAAAGGGAAATGCAGATCCCACGGGGCCTGGTCAGCTTCTTAGGTGTTTGCATTTTATTCCAAGGTCATGGGAAGCTACTAGAGGGTATTAAGTGAGGGAGATTTGTGTTTCAAAAAAATGATTGTAAGGCCAGGTGTGTAATCCCAGCTAGGCAGGAGGTGGAGATGGATTGTGGTCTGAGGCTGGCATGGGCAAAAGCTTAAAACACTATCTGAAAAATAACCTAAAACAAAAAGAAGTGTGACTCCAGTGTTAGAGTGCCTGCCTAGAAAGCTTGAGGCCCTGAGTTCAAAATCCATTACCACCAAAACCAAAAAAAGAAGTGGTGGGCATGGGGCCTGGACCTGAGGAGACCCACTGGAAGCTGTTGAAGAATTTCAGATGAGGAGCAATGCCACATCTCTAGAGGTGGAGACATGCGAGTGGACACTGAGGGGCTTGGGCCGCCTGCATGGCACATGGTGGGTGAGGGGGGTGAGGTGGCACTTGGGAGTGGAAGGTGCTTTTCCAGAGATGGAGAAAACTGGAGGAAGGAGCAACTGTCTTTCATGGTTCAAAGCCCCCCGGGAGACAGGTCTGCCCTCAGCCAGCAAGAAGCTGAAGCTGTTACTGAGCCCGGACAATGGCTGGGACCAGAAAGCAGCCTATCCTTGGGCCCTTTGGCTGAGTGGGTTTCAGAACCATTTTGGTGACCTCAGTGGATGCTGTCCCTGGGCTTTTGGTGGGGGAGACCTTGCAGAGGGCTGCAGAGCCATAACCTGTTCCTGCCTGTGCTCAGCCCCCCGCCACAGCTCAGACTTCCCCTATTGGAATCATCATGCCACAGCAAGTGAGCTTGGATGTTGATAGGCTGCTCCTAGGAGACCAAAAGGGAGGAAGGCCGCCGAGTGGGAGGGGCTGCCTTGCTGGTCAGAAGTGCTTCAAGGGGCTTAAGAGGGTGTCACTGTGTGCTCCAGGGTGCCAGACCTGCAAGCTAACTCCTGGGGGGCTCAAACTCATCTGGCATTCAGAAGGGACCCAGCCACCAACACCTCCTTTTGGTGCTCTTGGCTGGAATGTCTGCCTAGCTCAACTGAGCCTCCTGTCCCATTGCTGCACTCCTACTTCTCCCCCACACAACCATGTGGTATGGAGTGGGCCCTTAAGGACAGGGGAGGCCAGTCACTGTCATTAATTGGAACAGTTAGAATAGGTTACACCAGCAGGGAAAACAGAGGCACACGAGGTCTGTTGGGAGAGAGAACATCACTCTTCACAGAGACATCACTGTGCTAGACACCTATCTGTGTAGGGATGATAATGAAATTAATCTGGCCTGCAGTCACTTCCTGTCCCAATGATTTATTGGCCTCATACCCCATTGTAGCTGCATGATGGTAAAATAAATGACAAGACGAGGACACCAGGGCTTAAAGGTTTCTCCTTATGTTTAAAAAGCTAAGCTGTGAGGCAAATAAGTGCAGAGAGCTTGAAGGGAACCAGGGAGGTCATTGGGCTGAGCCCTCTAAGTCTGGACCTTACCCAATGCCCTGTTTCCTGAAGACCAATGGAAGAAAAGCATTCCCCCAACCCTCGTAGCCGCCTGAACTTGCACTTGATTTACTGTAGATTCAAAATGGGGACTAATGTGAGCGGGCTGGGCTGAAGTTTGCGTTTGCCCTTTCTTTAAATAAAAAAGGTTCTCCTCAAGCACTTGCTTTTCCCTCCAAAGAGACAAGATGCTAATTATCACTCTTATTCATTTACTAAAGTGCCCTAGTTTGAGTCACTGTATGCGCTTGAAAGCAAAAAACTATTTCATTTAAAAATAGGGTCTAATTCAGAGTTCTAAGTGATTCAGACTTACCTCCCTCCAATTAGTCCAAATTAGTTAGGTTTTCAAGTTAATCTTTAGTGACGGCCAGTTCCTCCTCCTGTCTAAACATAGTCCCTAGTGCTGGAGTGTGAGCCTGTGTCTTCTTGTCTTCTGTCCTTAAGGCTAATAGAGGGGAGAAGGTTTCTCTGCTGGCCGATTTATTCTCTAGATATTTGAAACTGGTTTCTAGAAGGATCTGGGGACACAGCAAAGATATAGCATCTCATGGACCAGACATGGCCCCCTAAGCCCTAAACTGCTGGCAGTGCCCTGTCAGCTCCTGAATGGCATCAGCATTGTATGAATGCTTTCCAAGATGGTAACAGTGGGCATCTGGCATCTTTCCTGTGCACTGGCTCCATTAATGCTCACCACATCCCTGTTCTTTTAGGCTGCTGCTATTATTCCTCCCACTTCCCATCAGATGAATGCAGAGGAGGGTGACTTTCTGCTCCAGTCTAATTCTGTCTTGTACAGACAAGGGTTAAGTGAGCCGATTTTTTACAAACACATTGAGCCAGAAGCATCTTTCTTCCTATAATTAAGCCTCCTTAATTGGCTGTGGCTCTGGGCATTTCTCTGGAGGGGATCACACTTATGTCTTAGAGTCCATAGGATAAGAGTATGTCAGGGCAGTGGCCCCTTGTCCTAGTGACTGGCTGGTTGCTCTGCGGTCCAGGCTTCCTTTCTTTCCCTTGTACCCTGTGTGACCTTTTGCTGGACTATGTTATCCCACCCACACCTTGGGGTGGCACTGAGGGTGCAGGACAGGTGTTTGGGGGCAGGAAATTTTCTCCATAGATCGCACCTCTCATTTTGGGCTGTGAAGTTTGGGGAAGCATTAAAAAAAAAATAGTGAATTGCCATGTGATTAAAGACTATTGCACATCACTGGGGTATGTTCATGCAGAAGAGGCTCACTGCCAACACCAAATTTGCCATTCAAAGGACATTTAAAGCTGCTAGGAATGTCCCAAAGAGTCTGTTGGTAAGGTCAACAGTACTAGTCAGGTGTCATCTCTGATCCTAAAATGAAAGGACTACATCATCTCTGAAGGTCTCTTGCATCCTAAATGTCTTAAATGCTCATTTATTTAACCAACACAGGTCCTTCTCCTATAGCAACTCCTTTGGTCCTCCTTAGCATCCCATGAGGTGAATACTGTCATTATTCCCATTCCAGGGCCTAAAAAGGCTCAGAAACTCAGCCATGGTCATACAATGACTCTCACTGCCAACCCACGCTGGAAACAGGTGAAATAGAACTCACCTTAACTGTGGCTGTGCTCACGCCAGAGGGATAAGCTTGCTAAGAGCCAGACTTTCAGCTCATGCTAACCTCCAAGCAGCCTGGTTGGGAGCTGGGTTTAATTTCTGAAATAAATATCCTGGTAGTTAATGGCCTCTGATGTCAAATTCAATCCCATGGTGAATCTTGTGGCTGTGAGTTATCAGAATGCTTTCCTGCTTCTAATCCTATTTTGACATTCTTTGTGGCCAGCCATCCTTGAAGATGGCAGTTACCTTAACCAGAGTGAGACCTCTTTCAGGCATCCTAGAATCAACAATGTCAGCCCACAGGGCACCCAGAAAACTTAGATTCCTAATTTCACATACGCTCCCAGAGGCCAACTCCCGCAGGAAGGAAGACTACCTCAGGTTTAGCTCTAACAGTCCTCACAGGGAGTTGGCTTCTGGCCCCAGGGTTAGTTTTAAGTAAACAGTGGCAAACTGGGAGCCCTCTGAGCCTTTCCTATAGTTTCAGGAGTCCATTAGAGGTCTGATCTGGGAGAGTTGTGTGTCTGTGGAGCCCTGAGCCCTCTTTGCTGAAGCATTGAGTAAGGTTATCCCCTTGGCTCTGCCAAACAGATGCCCTTTTTGCTTTCCTCAGGGAAAGCATCCAGGAGAAAGGGAGAGGAAGGGGGAAGGGAGGGGGAGGGGGAGGGGAGGAAGAAGATGGTGTTGACAGAAGGAGAGCAATATTGGCAGGTGGCTTCCAGACAATGCTGCTGGATGGAATTCTGTTTTCATGTAATACCATTTTAACAGAAAGTCACTTTCAGGAAGGAGAGAATCAACAAGGGCTTCCCCGTGGTAATTTCTATTGATTACTATGTTTTCAGCTATTTTTTCGCTCAAATAAGGAAAAAGTGTCATAATATTCAAACCATAGTCATCATTTTCCATAAAACTCGTAGCTAAAATTTCATTAGTTCTCTTAGGCTGAACCATATGAAATTGTCAGTTGTTTATCATTTTTACCTACAGAAATAATAGCTTTATAAGGTTGAATCTGAGTTTAACCTGTATTCTAGAAAATCTACTTTTATAGGGTAATCTCCAATTTATGCCATGAAGACAGTGGCTTGCCATCAAGATATCTCACTCTCACGTGCAGATTTATCTTAGAGGTGACTTTAAATCGTTGACCCAGGTTCATTTCTTCCCTGTGTGGTCACCACTTAGGTTCTGGTGATGAGAAAGTTTACAGTCGTCTCTAGCATATTCTTGGCTGGGCTGGCGTCATTGGAGGGTACCATCTTGTCATCTCAGCAAGCTTTGAAGGCTGTGAGCCTGCAAACAGGTTGATCTAAAATTGCCTTGTGCAACATTGTGCTCTGAGCTGGAGAAGCATTCTTGCTGCATATCCATTTGTGACATTAATTCTCCTTGATTTAATTTCGTTCTTATCCCTAAAGTATGGGCCCAGAGGATGCTCCCTGCCTCACTGGAGGATGGGACGATGACTGAGTCACTCTTAGGGAAGCAGTTGGAGTGCCTCAGATGGAACAAACAACATCCTATGTTTAACCCTTTGGATTTGGTGGTACTTTTCAACAAAGCATTTCTGTCCTTAACTCGATAGCAGCTGACTTGTGCAAAAGAGACAGCAGAAATTTTTTCCCTTCCCCCACCCCCCGCCCCAAACATCTGTAAATTATTTTTCTGTCCTTATCATAGTGTTCAAGCGACCCATGGGGTAGAAATGTTCCAGCCCTAGAGCAGCTGTGAAAGCTAGAAATATGCTCTCACACACACAGCTCATCCACTAATAAAATGCTTTTACCACTGGCTCTTGGAAGATAATTTCAGAGTAAAATTTCCTTGGTACGAGCTGCGTCTACGCTATCTTAATGCCTGTGCACGGTGCCAGCAGCAAGTCGCTGCCAGCTCTTGAAAAGACATTTGAACTTTTGGCAGCACTCCTTATCGGAAGGCCCATCCGTGGTGTTTGTGATTACAGAGGAAGGGTGCTCGCTTTTGGCAAAACAAAACGTCTGACAGTAGCGGAGTATTGGCTCAACACTCAACAGGACCCATTTGGGATTCATTCTTTGACAATTACCCAGAATGAATCACCAGCTTCCTTTTATAAAAAGATATTTATTGGCCTAGAAACAGCACATCCAGCTCTTGGTGGGGAGGAATTTTGTAACTATGTTCAAACATTCTCATAAGAGTGGTGTCTGAGTATTGCCAAGGGGGGTGTCTGCCCACAGCAGTTACTTTAATTGCATCAAATATGGAGGAGAATTGAAAAAATTCAGCCAGAAAACAACAAATGGCTCAAGGGAAAGAAGAGGATGTTTGGTAATAACAGCAGAGTCAAAGAGCTCAGTAAGAGTTAGTAAGCATCCTCAATGGAGACACTTTGCAGAGGCCCGATGGCCTTGTCCCCTCGTCCCACAAGATGTTCTGAACACTGGCAGTGGGAGGCCCCTGGCTTAAACTTAGCAGCTGGCTGGACACAGCTGGCTGGACAGCTGTGTTAGGGGCCTCTTGAGAGCTGGCTCTTGCTCTGTGCTCTTCCCTGTGTGGGTGCGGCCTGAAGGAGATTAGGTTTTAATCCTGTGGTGCTTGCTGAGTAGCCTCTTACATTTTGATAACTGAGTGTAGCAGGCCAGAAGAGAAATTCTTAAAGTCTCTCCTTTTTACCAAGCTGGGGAAGGCCAGGTCCAAATTAGTATTAAAATTCAGAACAGCCTTGGAGCTATTGAGTGGCAGGGAAACCCACTTAGCTGAGAAGATTGAAGAGGTAATCTTCCAGCCACAATCTCCAAGAGAGGTGGGGCTTTGTGTATCCCTGACCTGCCTCCTCTGCCTGGGAGGCCTCTTTGTCTTCTGTTGTGGACCAGACACTTGCTCAGAACCATTTACTTCTCCCCAGGAGCCAGGCCTGCCCTCTCATCTTAGCACCTCTGTTTCCCTCTGCCTGAAGGTCACCAGGTTCTGCACCTGGTTATTTCCCAGGGCCCATCAGGGAGAGGGAGAGAGAGAATGCAGGGCCATTTGGCCCTGGGCAACACTGTCCTCAGGTGAGATCCCTTGACTTAATCTCCAGAAGAGGCGATTCTTAGGCATGGCATTACCAGGTCCCTGAGGTGAAAGTACTTATTTGTTAATGTACACATTTAAAATCTGCTGCAGTTTTTTTTCCTTTGGCAGTACTGGGGTTTTGAACTCAGAAACTCATGCCTTCTAGGCAGTTGCACTACTGCTTGAACCATACCTCCAGCCCTGAAATCTGTAGCAATTTTTAAATAGCTCTACTGAGATGCAATTTATAAACTTTAAAGCTCACCTGTGTAAAGTATAGAATTCAGTGGCTTTAGGTAGGTATGCAACCATCACCACAATCTAATTTTAGAATATTTTCATCACCCCCTCAAAGAAACCTTGACTCATTAGCATTCACTCCTTTTCCCCATCCCTGCTTTAGGCACCTAGCAGTCTACTTTCTATCTCAACAATGTTTTGTAGCCTGGGCATTGCATGTATGTGAGATCATACAACATTAGTCTTTTGTGACAGGCTTCTTTCACTTAGCATGATGGTTTTGAAGTTCATCCACATCATAGCATGTATTGACACTTCCTTTATTGTATGATAATTTTTGTAGCATATTCATAAAATGGATTAATACACAGCAATAAAAAAGGATGGACTACTGTGAAGCACAACATGAATTAACATGGCAGACCCTAGGAAGCCAGAGGCAAGAGTCCATACTGTATTATTCCATTTACATGAAGCTCCAGAACAGGTAAAACTAGTCAGTCTGAAGAAGTCAGAGAAGTGATTACCTCTGCATGAAGATGGGATGCAGCAGTTCTTAGATCTGGAAATGTTTCATACCATGATGTGGGTGGTGCCTACACAGACACAGAGAACTTCCATGGGTGTTCATTGAGCACTCACCTGTGTGCTGTACTTACATTCAAACATTTTTGTTAAAAGCATTCACAATTTTTATGCTTTTTAACCTTTTTTTAAAAAATACTACCACCTACAGAAAAAAGAACACACCCTAAGAGTTCTTCTGGACTAGTTATCACCAAGTGAGCATATCCTGTAGATAGCACCCACGTCAAGGAATAGAAGCTCCTTTCTGTTCCCTCCTTATCGCAAAACCCACTTTGTTCTCCAAATAGTTGATACTGGTTTTGATCATGGGCTTTTTGTTTTTGTTGTTGTTAGCTTTGTATAACCAGAATCATATGGCAAGCTCTCTTTCACGTCAATTTGCTCAGTATGAAAAGACTCATCCACATGGCATGTAGTAGTAGTTCGCATCCACATGGCATGTAGTAGTAGTTCGCTCATTTCCGTTGTTTCGTAATTTGTTGCGTGAACAGACACTACATTATTTACTCTTTCTAACATGGTTGTCTAATATGGAGCAGTTACAGATAGCTTATTGTGAAGGTTTGTACTTACTTATGTTGGATATAGAACTAAATACAAAACTGCTCTGTCATAGGACAGATATAGATACCAGCTTTACATACCAGGTTTTGAAAACCTGCCTTAGCATTTTTCTGTTTCCTAGTATACTAATGATTTCATCAGTTTGGATTGCCATAATGGAATACCATTAACTAGGTGGCTTATGCCACAAGCATTTATTTCTCACAATTCTGGGACCTGGAAGTCAAGGTCATGGTACCTGTAGATCTGGAGTCTGGTGAAGGCCCTTTTCCTGGTTACAGAGGATCTCTGTACCTCTGTACCTCATCTGGTAGACAGCAGGGAGAGAGAGAGAGAAAGAGACAGAGAGAGACAGAGAGAGAGAGAGAGAGAGAGAGCGCAAGCTGTGGTAAATTTTGTTAGAAATTCATGTGGGTGCCACCGGCAGAATTTCAATACCTCCCAAAGGCCCCACCTCCAATACCACCATATTGGGATTAGGATTTCAGCATGTAGATTTGGAGGGGATGCAAACATTCAGCCCATAAAAAAGGAGGAACCTTAAAAGATGAAATTGGCCCAGTTCTCTCCTGACTTCTGAAAGGTAGGGGAGTGGCCTAACCTGGCTTAGTCTGTCCTTCTCCCACGACTGGGCCCCCATCCTGTCTGTACCACAGGGTCCTGATCACCACCTTCTCAGCATTTACCTTACCTCATCTCATTGATTCTTCACAGGACCATGTGCCCCTTGAGGGCACAGACAATGTCCTGATCGCAATGTAGCTAGCCCCAGGCTACAGCACAGTGCCCAGAACCTAACGGTTCTTGATAAATATTTAATCCAATAAGTGAAAGAACATAAGATCCATCCAGCCATCTAATTCCTGGGTGAAGTTGAGAAATACATTAAATTTTGAAAACTCATATATTTTTTATCTTTGCTTTCAGATATCAAATGGATCCACTATAAAAGTCTTTAAGAAGATAGCAAATTTTACTTCAGGTAACCAATATAATATTGTTAACCTTTTTTAAGTATTTTTGATATATCTCATAGATTTTTTTATCTATATGCTTACAGATATTTAAATGTGAGTATCCACTATAATTAAAAAGTCTTTAGAAGATAAGCATTACAAATCTTTGTATCAGATGATAACCGTAAGTGATAATGAGTTAACCTTTTGGTTCTCATGAGCGCAGCTTGTAGTGCGAACAGTGATATGCTTTATGTCTTCTCTTTCAGTAGAGTAGATTAATGTGACACAAAGGTTGATGGATTGATGTGTTGCTATAGTTGTTATCTCAATAAGTGAAAGCTGATGAAAGACTAGTTTCTAAGATCTGTTTCTAGATGACATATCATAGAATATGAAGCCTAGTGCGATGAGAGATAGAAACTGGTGGAAACTCTGTGAGGGGTTTGTGACCACAGATACGGACCCAACACTAAAGAGATAGTTCCTTGCGCTTTTGACTTAGATGTTCATATAACTCAGGGTAGATGAATTCCCGAGCCTCTCCTATGGTCTTCTTGTCCAACTTTCCTCATGAAGTACAGAATCCCCAACTGATCAAACTGATGAGGGAGAAGCTTACTATGATTGATACATCAAGTTTTACGCTTATCTATTGTGAAAGCTATTATAGGAGCATATTCTCATTTTAGGAAAGTATACTAGAGCTATCAAGTGTGTGTGAATCGCCTTTGCGAATAATCTTCCAGAAAGCGAGATTTGAGAGAAAACCAGAGGGAGCTCTGATTGAATAGAATCCATAGTCTAAATTGATTTCCTATCATTTCCCTTGGAAACGCGGCCTCAGAGATAAAAGCAGCAGGTATTGTAAGTATAGAGTGACGTTGAGAAGAAATCTTCCTAGGTTTCCTTTTGTTATGCCTAAGTGTTTTGTGCTTTACTGAAGTAGAATCATTACACGCCTGAGGATCTAGAATGCTCAGGCAGCGTGCAGCCCGTCAGATAGGTGCTGGGCTTGGCATCTTGTACATTTGCTCAGCTTATGGATCCCTCACATGAAACTACACATCTCATCAGGCGGCAGTGAATAGGTGGGCTCCTATTCCTGGCAATTCTAGTAGATAGGTTGGAGTTTTAGTGATCTTGGTCAGCAAGGTCGTGAGTTAGTTATGTAAACAAGGCAAGGTTGCAACAGTTGCCTGATGAAAAGCAAGATTAATATTATAGTTGTAGGGTAGGCTTCAGGTTACCATTGCGTTTGAGGAGAACAACCCCTACCTTCATTTATTTAACTATATATATAAGCTATGGTGGTTGAAGAGTTATTTCGAGATCTTATGCTAGTAGTATTGTGAGCTGAATCGATTTGCTCAGATGGGATGATGTGCCTTAGAATGATTATAGAAAGAGAATATATAAATAATTTCAGATAGAGAGTTTGTGGACTCTTAGCATGAATAATGCGTGTCTGGGTTTGAGGACTGACTAGTAGAGTCTAAGGGTTTGAGATTTCTCTATAGGACATACTTATGTATATATCGACTATAGCGCTAGTGCGTGTCCTCTTCGGTGCGTGCCATAATATGATAAGTGCGTGAGAATCATCACACTTGGAATTAACTAATCCTGGCTAGTCATGATACTTGCCAAATTTCCTATGTATCCATCTCGTAGATCACGTATATCAGAGTCTCTCCTGATTGTCAACGAATCTATCCCTGTGATATGAAATACCTGTAGTCCTATGTGTAGTCTTCCTTGCTCTGAACCTACTAGTTCAGGCGGGTCAAGGCCTCTACAGGTAGGAGAAGCAGACTTAAATCAGCAATCAGTTGTCGCGATATCTAAGGGTGACATTAGTTAATTGGTTGTCCCAATTTACATCTCAATACAATGTCTTACTTTGTAACTGAGTGTTTTCTCGTGTAAGCTCAACCACTGGTGGCTATCAGTAATGAGCAAGATTCTATCCGCTCTCATTCCTCCATATCAACCGCTTCTTGTATCTCACAGCACAGTGGTCTATCCACTGGTCAAGCGGAGATGGCATTCAACTCCTGTGCTTTCCTCATAGTGTATGTAAATGCAGTGGAAATTGATGGAGACTTTTTCGCTCAACAGCATCAGCACCAAATGGTGATTGCTACCGAACCTACTTGTATTCCCTTTTCTTGTCCTGTCTCCTGCTTCCCTCCAAGCCAGGTCTATTCCATTTGCTCTTCTATGGTTCCACCTGAGCATTATCTGTTTATACTTTCCTGAGTGTGTGCATTGCTCTGCGAACTATACCACATGT